ATGAAAGACTTTAGACAGTTTTTAACTCTCAGTAATGCCATAGTGATCGTTTGATATATGGACCTGCAGCGGAGTTTAGGCCCAGACACGGCTAGTGACATCAGACTTAACGACCGGATTACCACTAGCACATCTAGACACAAGGCTTTAGTTTCGTGCCCTATTCAAGCTCTCGCTGCTGTTTGTGACACATTTTTGGTCCGTTGTCTGAGGTGTGAGCTGCATATTACAGTTATACGTAATTATTGTTTTGATCTATTCATTTATTTTTGCCAATTCAAATCAATAGCAGAAATGATGCCAGTATAATGTTTATTGTTTATATACTCATCCAGAAAACCGGCCAACTGGTTAATCAGAGAGTAAAGTGTTTATTTTTTTTATTTATTTTTTTTAACTTTTCATTCTCCTATGTCGAGAGTGATTTCTTTGCAGGTCTCATTATAAGGAGTTGAATCAGTGCTCCATGATTTTCAGTATAGCTGTGGTAGTATAAACAAACTTTTCCGTTCTGACATCTCATAGCCAGAAGTCACTTGTAATCTCAGATGACTTCCCAAAATGATCGGTTTCCAAATCTCCCGACTAAGTACTCTGATATGCAATTTCTGTTATAACAGATTTTATGTAAATATAAACTGCTCTGAGTTAAAATTGTGATTTGTGAAAACATGGTATGTTTTATACCAAAGTGGTACGAATGTGGCCACCACAAACTGTAATTGGAGAGTTGAATGTAACCACATCACCCATTGCTTTGCCTTGATGTTAGACATTATGGTCTTTTCCGTGTAGGTGTTTAGGAGCCTGAAGTGACCATCTAATGAGTTATCACCCACTAACTAAGGCTGGTTACCAATAGAGTATGACAAGTTTATTTATTTTTATAATCAGAACAGTGGATTTTTAAGCCAACATCTGTCCTTAAAACCCTTCAATCACTTGTGTGGGCTGTTGGTGCAGTTAACTGCTTAATAAACAACATTTTTTAGTTATTGACTGCAATAAAATAGCTCTAAAAAGCCAACATGGTTGAGACAACCAGTTCAGTGACTCATAACATCTCAGGTGACTCTTGGCAGACAGCTAGCAGTGCTAACTGAATCTGTTGGCACCCACCTGTCACTCAGAGTAGCCACACCTGTAACAGTAATAAAGTTTGAAAGGGTGAAATATAAAAAAAAGTACATTAACACTTCAAGTACAATTTTCACAAAGGAAGAAAGTTGGTTGGTTTTTTTGTATATACGGGAGGATTCCCTTTAAGAGGCAGCCACAAAGGGCTATTCAGGAAACTCGAATTTTAGGCACCTCTGCTTTATTTTTCAGCATGTTTGTAGCAGTTTCTGAAATTTACAAGATGTAACATGTATACACGGTGAAGGGAAACACATTTGATCTCAAACAATCTTCCTGTTTGCAAACCAGAAAAACAAACCCCAGACTGAAAGTAATCCTCTAAGTCAGGTTCAGCACACTCTGAGCTGAAATCTTAAGCCAAGTCAGGTTTCTTACATTCTTCTCTCTGTTCTTACGAACTGCTTTGTACGACGGCGAGACCTCGTCTGTATGCAACACTTGTGTAGTGAAAAATATTTACAGCACTGTTCGGTTTTTCTTGTAGGGTTTCTCGTAATGTAAAACTTCCGACATGCGGCTAGAAAGCCCATTTGCTGGCATGAGATTAGTGCTCACGGGAGCAGTTGTTTTGAATATCTTTTAGGATATTGATATTGATTGCTGGGGTGTACATGAGTGCCCGCCAGGCATATTTTCCCACTCCACCAAGGCCAGAGGGATTGAAGCAGATGAGAATGGAGCGGTGAGTGCTGTACGTGTGATTGAATGTGTTTTTAGGGCTTTTATTACGCTGACATATGTAAGATGGACAATGATAGTCATCCTGAAATACACATACACATTCCTCGATTGCATCAAATTGTGGTACAAGCTTGTATCTTAGACACTGTTTATGTAAACAGAACGACTATATCGAAAGATCTCTGCCCCTGATGTCAGACCATGAGGTAACAGAGCCCTTCCCTTTTCAAGAAACAGCACTGCAGCTACTCGTTAACTGCCGAGGACGTAACAGTCACTGCTGCAATCGGCAGCCGGCGCACTATCAAAAAGTTTCCAAGGCCCTGCTCCAGCCCCTTCCTCCGCAGATTGTCAGTCAGACATATTTAGTGATCAGCCTTTTCTTTCCTTCATCCATCCATTCATCCGGGCTTTGTTATGTTGTTTCCCCTGACACACCCTTCCTGTCCAGAGGAAGTTGGCTATTGCTAATGTTATTAAGGAAAAGCCTTCCTCTGAGAGCTATAGCAGCTAGACCTGTCAGTTCAGTCGGTTTCCTTCATCTTTTCCACGATTACTGCAAAGGTTGCACCTGTGCGTGTTCATTCAGCAAAGGTAATTAACAGCCATAGTGGATATTTTTTTTTTATATATGTGGCATTGTTTGTTTTGGGTGTTTAACCAGTACATCTGTCTAACCTGGCACTGTCTGTTGATTGATGGAGATTTAAGTCAGAAAAAGACACAGAAAGACTCCAGCTAAAGTTCAGTTACCAAGGCTGGTTGAAAGCTGCTATTGTACTGAATAATAAAAGGTGAGAGATTATGAATGAGCCTCTAAACAGCTTTACAACCTCTGCTTTGAGCACCCTGCCATAAGTACCTGTGTAAAGACTGCTCACTACAACATGTTCGAGCAAAGGCCGTGTTCGTCCTCTGCACTGATCTGCTGAGGGAGTGTTCTGGGCGTGTTTAGGTTGAATAGCACACATGTACACATTGGATTGGAATTTTTATCACCAGAACTTTACAAGGCCTATTTGCCTGCAGTGATAGCAGTGTACAGCAACATGTGAGGGTAAAACTGAAAGATGACATAATATCAGCAAGTGTAGCTGGAAGCTTTCACAATCAAAACTCCAGAATCTCCATATAGTACCATATCACCCTATTAGAGCACTTCGCTCTCGCTCTGCAGGCCTACTTGTTGTTCCTAGAGTATTTAAAAGTAGAATGGGAGGCAGAGCCTTCAGTTTTCAGGCCCCTCTTCTGTGGAACCAGCTTCCAGTTTGGATTCGGGAGACAGACACTATCTCTACTTTTAAGATTAGGCTTCAAACTTTCCTTTTTGCTAAAGCATATAGTTAGGGCTGGACCAGGTGACCCTGAATCCTCCCTTAGTTATGCTGCAATAGATGTAGGCTGCCGGGGGATTCCCATGATGCATTGAGTTTTTCCTTTCCAGTCACCTTTCTCACTCACTATGTATTAACAGACCTCTCTGCATTGAATCATATATGTTATTAATCTCTGTCTCTCTTCCACAGCATGTCTTTTATCCTGTCTTCCTTCTCTCACCCCAACCGGTCGCAGCAGATGGCCGCCCCTCCCTGAGCCTGGTTCTGCCGGAGGTTTCTTCCTGTTAAAAGGGAGTTTTTCCTTCCCACTGTCGCCAAAGTGCTTGCTCATAGGGGGTCATATGATTGTTGGGTTTTTCTCTGTATCTATGAAGCGCCTTGAGGCGACTTTTGTTGTGATTTGGCGCTATATAAATAAAATTGAATTGAATTGAATTGAATATTTGTAGCTTCACATGCTGGATTATGATCATTGTAGACCAGAGAAGTGAAACATTTACTGGCTCTGCCCAGGCGGTGTGTGCATTTTTTATCGTTGCTTCTGTAACAGAGTCACTCAGGACTCAGATATGCAGTTTTTAAGGTTAAGTGTTGGTGCTGTAAGTCCTTGAGAAGAGGTTAAGCTGAAGTACCAAGTGCTTTCTCAGATGCAGGGAGTATTGTTGAATGCCATTCTGGCTGTTTTCACTTTTCCTGTTGGGAAGGGCTTCGCTGATGAATGATGTCCTGTGTTTTTTCCCCTCACTCTCACACTTTCTTCAGCTGTTTTGTTTTCCCTCAATCAGAATTTCACACAGTCACACTCTTCCTCATGTGCTCATTCTTACACCTGTTTTGCAGCACTCCTGCGTCGCTGCTCTTATATACACAAAGAAAACATTCACAAAGCTTCAAGTACGAGCTCTAATCTGCCCTCCGCGCTCATATAAGCACAACTACTGAGCTGCTCTCGCTGTTAAGGGGCCTGGGCAATTACAGAGCCAGGTGTATCAGATTTCTTTGTCCAGCCCTTAGGCAACATCTGAGGACAGAACGATTTTCTATTGTTTTGTTCTATATAGGCCAGGCTTATCAGTTCTTCTGCCTCTGTGAGCTCCGTGTGGGTTTGAGACAGTACGTCCTCTGTGCCCGCCTCATTAAAAGAGGCACGGTTCAGTAGGCAGAAAAAACACACTCGATCACCCAGCCGCCCACCACCATCTCTGTCCCCACTCTGGTTCTGTCTCCATTAACTCATCCCTTCACCTCCCATTACCCGTCTTACCACTGGTGGCTGCTCAAGCTCAGCAGCACGCTGCTCTATCAGCAACACCGTCTTCAGAAGTAATTTTAGTTATGATGTCAATTAGCTACTATTACACTTTATCATTCATTAATGTTTTGTTGCTTGGCTTCCTATTAGGGATGTGAATGGTCCACAGATATTAAAGACTTGTTCACTGCACCCCACTGATTTTTAGCTATTCATGTCTCCCAAGCTGGTTGTCATCATTCATTGCTCTTCTGTTTTTTCCCCCCTAGGTACAGCAGAAGCAAAGCGTCAGTGGTGAAGAGGAGGTGAAGGGCTCAGAAACACCGGTCCATGAGACTGACAGTCAGTATGGGACCTGGGAGACGGGACTACGCACTGATGATAGGTAAATATACAATAAAAATCACATGCAAATACAACTACGGCTACTTCAAAACAACTAACTTAGAACAGAGGCCAGGGTTGGGCTGACCAACACTCCTGCCCCACTACACAGCTTTGGAAAATGTGAAGGAAGACATACATTTTGAACTTTTAACTGCATTATTATATAACTATTTTATTACAGAAATGTCTGTTGTTACAATGGATACACACATTTTTTAGAAATGACATTTTCTGTGATGAGCTACAGCTACCAGAACATGTATCTCTTACAGTTGAAGTCATTCAGATAAATTTCTTTTGTTTCCTACATCAGCATTACTTTATCATGTACAAAATACTGAGATGTCCTGCTGAAATTGCTCTTCTCCTTCTCACATTAAGGTATCAGAAGGAGTAAATGTGTACATGACATCCCTGATTTAAAACAAACAAACTAAGATATGGCCAACACTTGTACGACTGTGTGAGACTGCACTGTAAAATGTTAATTCAAAACACTTTGGAAGCAGTGAAATGGGAAAGATGATTTTTATAAACAGACGTGTGCTTTAAGATCAGCATCAGACAAAAGTGACTTTTATTTAAATTATTAATAATCCTACATTAAAAACCAGGAGTCAAGAGTTCAAGCAGCAATAGAGTGATGACCAGTCAAGTCTCCACAGGCACAAGCTTTCTCCACACCTGAAAAGGCGTGGCCTTTTGAGACACTGACGCCCACACACCACCCAAAGACAAACAGCTGCCATTGCGAGACCAGCGGATTAGAGTGAAAGGCAGAGTGATTTTTTTTTAAACCCTGACGCATTAATCTCTTCATATGTTTGCTGACATTGCACCGCCTGAGCTGAGATGTTTAATAAGTCACAATCTATAAAATGTTCGACTCTGACAAATCAGTGTCATTTTGATTTTTGTTGTTGTGGTTGTTTTGTTTAGAAATGATTAAAGCCTGATGAAAGAAGAACTTTAGTTAGCATAATAGCACAATAAAAAGTTTAGTAAAGATCTTAAATAAAATCATATTCAACAACACAAAAGATCATTTACCTTAAAAAAGACGAAATCCAAACATGATGTAATCCAATAAATATTCCCTATGTAGCAACAGCATGCTGGAGTGATATGTTTGTAAAGGTTTACTAGAAACCCACAGCGGAGCTGAAATAACTTCAGGTGGAATAAGGCTACGTTCACACTGCAGGCGAAAGCGCATCAAATCCGATTTCTTTGACCCTATGCGACCCATATCCGATCATGGT